TGCCAAAAAAAACGATAAGTACTAATTTTTGCAAACTTTGACGAATTTTTAAACTAAACGAGTTGTTGTAGGGCCGTAATATTTTAGTATGATCTATAAGACTATGGTATCTACGTCAAAAAAAATCATAAAAATCGTCGAATTTTTTTTAACACTTTATTATAAGAAAACGGCCCGGCCGATATTTACCAAAAACTAATCAGTACGATTGCAAACCAATTTCTCTCAAACAGTTTTTGAATTTTCAAAATCGGTTTAGAATTGCGGGCTAAAACGATGATAAAATATTTTTCACTTTTCTGCTATTTGTAAAGAAACGGCTTAACCAATCGTCGCACAAAACTGATAAACAATAGACCTTATCGAGATACATCGAATAGCTTTTAAATTTTTGAAATCGGTCCAGCCGTTTTTTAAATAAAAGTTGATTTACGGCTAAAAATTTTTTCACATACATACACACACACGTACACACACACATACTTTTTCCAAATTTGGTCTCATTCGATTCAGAATTTTAAGTTTAAAACGTCAAGAAAACAAAGTTAGTGAATCGGATTTTTTTATGGAAACAAACTTCTCCTTCGGAAAGTTAATTATTAAAATTTAATTTCAAAATTCAAAATGGTATTTATTAAATAAAGTAGCTAATATTAAACGATTTCTATAAAATTAAAAATAAAATATTAAAACCTATTTTTCTCTGAATAAAGGAATGAATATTGTTTCCACAATAATTATAATTATCCGAAAATTTTGCTGAATATAATTGAATAGTTGATTGTTTGATGCGGTTCATTTATTGTTGTGTAGTTGGCTTGGTTTTTACAGTATAATTACATAAAGTCAAATTTTACCTTTGTGCTCTGTTCTGTCAAAAAATTAAATCAGAAAGAAAACTATATTTAGAAAATTAATAGTACTAATTATTAAATAGTAGTAATAGTGAAATCGTAGTAGACAAGAGATCCGAACAAAACGAATGATATATGACATGTCTTAGATTTTATTTTTGTAAACAATTATTTTATAATACAATTTTTGGTAAAGATGGAAATATTGATTACAAATAATCATATTTCCACAGTATAGTTGAAATGTATCTACATATAAGGTGACCATACGTTCCGGTTTGGCCAGGACAGTCCTGGATTTCCACCTTGTGTCCCGGGTTTTTCTAAAAGCAATATTTGTCCCGGGTTTAGATTTTTTGTTCCGAGTTTAATTAAGAGTTAAATTAATAAACATTATGAAACAAACGAACAAATGCTAAATTTTTCCTATTAATTATGAAGAAAATTGAATAGAACATATAGATCGTAATATATAAGATATATTATAATAACATAGATAAAAACGTATTACAAAAGTCTGCAATTTTGATTTAAAAAAATTGATTTATATAAAAAAATTCATATGAATAGATTGATTCATATCCCGGTTATGACTTCAAAGATATGGTCACCTTACTACATATGTAGTAAGGTGACCATATCTTTGAAGTCATAACCGGGATATGAATCAATCTATTCATATGAATTTTTTTAGAGCACAAGTATATTTTAATACCCTTTGGAAAGTTTAACTTTTCACCGATACAAAAAAATAGTAATGCGGCTGAAATTGCAAAGTGGTAAGTAAGAACAAATCACAATTAAGTTCTATGTAAAAAAATTAGCAATTTGATTTTTTCAGTGAAAATATAATTTTCACTTTTGGGGAGTTAACAATTGTGGTAGTCAATTTCACACTAATCGATCACTTATATTTTATCAATCTTAAAAATCAAATATCTGCGCGGTATATGTCAATTATAAAACTTGCAGATAAATGAAGTAACGCAATATTAATATCGCAAAATCCAACAAAAACGTCAATGAACCAGAGATAATCATGTCCATGTTCAAAATTTAATTAAAAACTTCTGAAAGATCAGATTTAATAAAGATAAACACTGATTTACCAAATTTTCTATCTAATCTCCTTCGAACCATCTCAAGCTCGCAAACTGTAAAAGTACAAATTGAAAATATTTCAATATGCTTGATTTTCGTACGTAATCGTATGACAAAACAAAATTTTATGTTCATGTATATCGTAACAAATGGTTAGATAATTGATTTACAAATTAAATTCATATTGGTAGATAATAAACGAGATTTTAATTAGATGGCAGACGTTTTAATTAATAATTAACCTTATTACTTTTAAATAACCTTCATAAAAATACATACATACTGTTAATTAAATACATTATATAACTACAAATTTAAAATACTGTTTTATCTGCATTATAAATAAATATAATGATATAAACTATCTAGCATGTAATAAAAAAGTATAATACCCAAGGGTAGACAACTTTTGTTCCAATCAATTTAATATTCAATAGTATACAATATATGTTTTTGAACTCAAAGAACCAAAAAACATAATATTGAAGTTATTGAAGTCAAAAATATTTTTAAATAAAAGTTCCGAATGCAAATGTATTGTTATTTATTTAATTTAATGTACATCGATTTATTATTAACTTCCCAAAGAAGAAGTTTATGCTTCCATCAAAAAATCCGATTCGCTAATTTTATGTTTTCTCGACGTTTCAAGCCATTCTGAATCGAATGAGACCAAATTTGGAAAAAGTATGAGCGTGCGTGTGATTGTGTTTGTGAACAGATTTTTTGCCGCAAATCGACGTTTTATCCAAAACGGCTTGAACGATTTCAGAAATTTAAAAGCCATTCGATGTATCTCCATGAGGACTCAGTTTTGTGCGACGAATAGCCAAGCCGTTTCCAAAAAATTTTTTGTCCACGTTTTAGTTCGCAATTCTAAATCGATTTTGAAAATTTAAAAACCGTTCAAAAGATATTGGTTGGGAATCGTGCTGATTAGTTTTTGGTAAAGATCGGCCGGGCCGTTTTCTTGTAATAAAGTGTTAAAAATTTTTTTTTCGACGAGTCTTATGATTTTTTCGATGGTAGGTACCATAGTCTTATAGATCACACTAATTTTAAAAATCCGTCAAAGTTGCAAAAATTAGTATCGTTTTGTGGGTTTGTCAAAATTTGAGCTTTCATTGACGTTTGCTCAAAAACAGCTGGGCCGATTTCAAAATATTAATTTAATTTATCAATGTATTCTGATGTGGATTTTATTTTCTCAGTTTTATGCAGATACTTCACAATAAGAATTAAAATATTGATTTATGGAATTAATAGTGATATTATTATCCTTACGAAGGAGAAATTTATTCTTTTGTCACAGAATGCGATTTACTAATTTTGTTGTCTTGACATCTTAAGGTATTCTCTATGGTTTGACATCAACTTGAAAAATGTATGTATGTATAAATGCATGAGAATCAATTTTGGCACTGTCGATGTTTTTTTTCAAAGAAAGACACCGACTTTCAAAATCAAAATATTAGGCAAAACTGGTTAAGGACTCCGTTTCAGCCTTATGTCAGCAGAAAAGTGCAGAATCTATTTTGAAATTTAAAGGTATTCATTGAGAATTATGCTGACTAGTAGTTCACAAAAATAATCCACTCTTAAATGAAGAACATTTTTATGCAGCAGAATAAAATATATAAAATTAAAATTAATTGCACAAATTATCGCATTGATCAGTTTCTAGTAGAAAAAAATAATTTTGAAAATTTTATTGTTACATATTTCAAAGTTACTGAATCTCAAATCGTATTGATAAGGTCAACAGATGTTTCATTTTCTATCCATTCTTATTTTTCAAATTTTCACATAATTGTGGATTAAACATCTTTAAAACTGAAAACTTAGGTAAAAAATTAAAAATAATGATTGATAGCAAACAAATTTTTAAGAACTTCTTGTTTAGAATATATAGTAAAACGTGTTGGGCTAAATTTATTCGTACAATAATGAGATCAAATGTTATTACTGTCAAAGCCTGATAATTGTGGATTCTATAACAAAATCTTAGCCTAGTTTAATATGTAAATGTTGATTTCAACTATAATGTTTTATTATTATATTTATCAACTTTCCGTAGAGTAAGTTGAAGTAGTCGCAAAAAATTGAAAATGAAAATTTTTATGCATCTTTACCTATCAAAGATTTCTGAATATTTTGGCATACCTTGAAAAATTGGATGTATGTGTGTGTATGTATGTGTATATACAATTTTTTGTCTACAATTTTGAGAACACTGATCAATCCGAATGATTTAAAAAGAATGCGATTCCTACTTCTGATCTGTTTGTTGCAAAGGCAAGTCCAGCCGTTTCGAAGGTATGGGCCAATAATGGTAAAGCAGTTTTTGAGAGAAGGAAGCGTTTGATTTGACACATGTTACTTGTATTAACAGAATGAAGAATTGCTGAAGTTTTTGTTGCGCTATTGAGCAAAATAAGTGATCATGTATCATTATTTCATAAATTTTGTTACAAGAAAAAACATTTGCTGAGCCAGAGAAGTATGTGAAATTTTGCAAGACTTGTTAAAAAAGAGTTAAAATACTATCGTATTGATTGGCTGATGTTTTTTTGAATGATAAGAAAAAAGGGGCCTTTCTCAAATTCTATTCGCTGAAATAGGTCTAAGTACACTATTGTTGAACAAAATAAACTGGGAAATTAACAAAAGTGCATAATGAATTATAAAAGGCAACAGTCGGTTTCATACTTCGCTTTCATCTTATGATAAAGATCAATTAAAATTGCAGTAAAAAACCGCCATCATCAATATTGATTTCTAAATTCATATATTATACGAATTCAAGAATTTATCAACATTCTAATCTTTTTATCAAATTTATTCTTACCAATCACAGCGACCATCCAAAAAACAAGATATGCATTTACACCTATCCAAACGATGCACATGATAAACGTTATTGGATAAAGCTTTCTCCACGTCTTGGGGCTTGGCACGGTGATAGTCAAAAACATTTTAATAGGCCAAGTGTAAAACCACCATATTTTCTTCAGATTATTGCCAGTCGGGATCTTCCATAAAGTTTTGCGTATTTTGATTCCATCTGTGAAAATATTTTCAGTTATTGATTGCACATTGCACATTGCTTCATTGTACCACTCTCATAAATCTTCTGGTATAACTAGCAAAACTCTCAATCACGTACAATTTGGTGGGTGGTATTTATCATTAGAGAAATTGTTTCATAATCAATTCCAACTGGACGATCAGAGAGTTTTAGACAATTTTCTACTATTCAGTAAAAATAGAACTAAAGCATAATAATTTTCTCACAAAAGATAAGATAAATTATAAATGATTTTATTGAACTAAGGATATGATAAAATTGCTTGATGTCGCAGGTGTCAATCAGATAAGTGTGTTTGTTAATAGAGGTAATGCATATAACTGATTTTTGGTATAATATTCACAACGTAGAAAATAGCTTATAAAATATAATATTAAGTTTTCTACAAAATTATCTACAATACCTGTATGCGGTAGTTCTATCTGATTTTTTGCCATCGAATTGGATTTTCCGGAATCTTCAATGCATACAACAGGGATGACATAAACTGATAGTACATTGTGGGTATTGGAGTTTGTTTTTTCAGTCTGAACAAAACATTCATTGCTCAATCCATTTGTTGGAGTTTTATCACCATTGTTATTTTTATCCCAATCTGACAAATAAAATAATTTCTATTTAACTTAAGATATTTTGATAAAACATTAAATAAAATTGAGTAAAATAAAATATAGCGTTTGAAAATCTCAGCTTTATTATAAATATTTAAATAAAGGGTCGATTATTTCAAGAAAAATTTGAATCGATAAGTTCTTGAAATAAAAACAGTAGAGGAAAAAAGATAAAAAACCGGCCATCATCTTTATTTTTAGTATGTTGCTATTGAAAAATAAGACAATGGAAAACTAAGAAAGAATAAAAATACTTTTGTTATGAATTTTCAAATATGGCCGTTAATCTCCTGAAAGTGACGTTACTTGATTTAAAGCGATGGCTGATTATACATATTTTGTCCTCTACTTTCAAATAATGTTGCCAACAAATTTTTAACGTTTTTTGTTTTTGAGATATTGGTAGTGAACTTTTTTACCCGCGGACCTTAATTATGCTATAATAAAAATTAGTTGGAGGGGAGTTATTTTCACTCGATTAGATGGGGGAATAGTTACAGCATCTATATGCGTAAAAATATAATCACAAGATATAATGATTTTAAAAAGCTGTTATTACAAGTCTAGTATTTCAAGCTTGCTAAAATTTATAAAATGCTGAATTTCGCTAAATATTTTAATGGCGTCTCATTTCGAGCAAATCTTACGAATTGGTTGTATTAAAAAAATAGATATAAAATATCTGTGGGAAGTCTTCTGTAATATAAATTTTCTTGAACAATATTCTAACAATGATCTTGTCCTTCTGCATTAAGTTAAGTTTATTAAAGATTCATAAGTGCTTTGTATTTTACGTAGTTACAGGGAAGTTTACTACAATAGTCAGATAAAAAGATAATTAAGCTTGAAATTGACAGACGTTTTGACAACCTAAAGACGAAGCTTCATTTTCTATTTTGCCTATGAAGTAAAAAAAAACTATTTCAAAAGCTGTTGATACGAAAAAATAAGTACCACAAATAGTGTGTTATGTCACTTATATGAGGACAAATGAGATGAGTGGTTACTCAGCCGTGATGTAGTGACAATAACGATTAGCAGACATCGGATTTTTGCTGTATGATATAAATGTCACATATGATCTTAAGTTAAAATGCCCTTTCGGGGACATTGCTGCGTATTATGCTCTTTACTATTAGTTATACCAAGATAATCTTCACAAAAATCGAAAATGATTCGGGAAAATTAATATTTCAGGAAATGTCAACAAACAGCTTATAGAAAACGTAGTTATGATTACTACTGAATTATATACAAAATTGATGCTACAAATCTCACAATTCTACAAAAGAAAAATTAATGGTCATTCTACACCGACCGTTAATGAAAAGAGATTTTACAGGTTTGACTTATAAGATAAATTTAAAATGTTTTTATTGATAATACTAATTGATCAGAATCATTATTTTAGTCTTATCATTATCGTTATTTGTTTTTATATATAATCTTATGATATATTTTGTTTTGTTCACTTTTATTAGTCAAGGTGTTTTCACTTCTAGTATTATATTTATATATATAAATTATATATCGTATGAGCTAGATGTTCTCACAAATTGGTTTAAAATTTATATATACATACATATATACTTGTGTATATAAACATGTATGCTTTTTGCAAATATTTGTTTGTTATCTTAGATTCGATTATAAAAAAGTTGAGATTGAACGGTGTTCCAAAGTCAATATTTATGTAGCAAACAGATATCACATAAAATCGCCAGGTCTTATTATCTCGTCCAGGATGCGTGTTGTTTGCAATTAGTACATCAGTGCCAGAGTTACCGCGCCGGTTTCTGTTTGGATAACATTAAGATATCGGATTTATTTTCGGTAGACACTGTTCACCTTGAAGTAAATCTATGGCTATTATATTAAAATACTCTCCTTTATAAATTACATAGCATAAATAAATAAAGAGTATTTCACCTAACATAATAAATAGATGGAACAGATAAAGGAACTGCTCTGTTTTCCATCGTAAGGCTATGGCTTTGATACTTGTTTGCTCATGCGAACAACGAACCTCTTCTCACATTAATGAAAATTTAAAAAAGGGGAGACTGGGCACGGTTGTGCCCCTTTTCTGATCAACAATAATTTTATAACCAGTTTTCTGGGAGAAAAGTAAATCAGTTAGTAATTTGAACATTTGTCTACGTTTCCTTAAATACGATGGATTGGTCAAAAAATCAAATCATTCAAGAAAAGGACAAGTGACAAAAGCATCCACACCCCCGGAAAAATTTGATAGCTATGGACACCAAAATAACTTTTATAGTCAGAAATGACTTTATTGTCAGAAATATATTACACAACACAACATGATCGTTTATCAATGTTTATAAATGTAATTTTTAAATTAATATTAATAAAATTTAAGCCCATTTTCATGGAACTTTTTTTAAGGATATATATCATGGTCTTATAGAACTTATATTACGAACTTACGACAAGTAGTTTAATTTTAAAAATTCATCAAAATTTGAGAAAATGAGTAGTTTTTTTGACGTTTGTTAAAATTAAAATTAGACGATTTACTTGGTGTAACGGTAGAGTACTTGGTCTTAATGAACATACTAAACCATTAAAGTCCTATAGAAACTGGTTTAATTTGCTTTTAGAAAATACTCCGTACCCAGTCTCCCCTAATATAAAAAACGGATTTATATAAGGAAATCATCTTTGTTCGCTAAATTACTGTTTTTATTCTAGTTTACTAAATTACAATTCTTTACAATTATCTTTAAACGCAAAACATTTAGTGATTTTGTGGATGTCTTGGGGTGTGGACGGTTGTGACACTCGTCCTTTTCTCGTACAATTTGATTTTATGACATATCGTATTTAAAGACAGCATTTCAGTATTTCTACGTAGACAAATGTTGAACTTACTTATTTAAGTTATTTTTTTTTAGCTTATTGGTAAATGAATAAAATTATTGATGGTCATTAAAAAACAACCGTACCCAGTCTTTCCTACTGGTTGATATCCATAAAGCATAAGTAATACTTTATATTAAAATATTTGTATTGTAAAGTAAATTTGTCTTATTCAAATTATTTAGTTTTATGTACATTTTCACATATAAACTGAACGTAGAAATCGCATTGTAATACTATGTAAGTTAACAACACTAAGATAAACGTCATAATTAAAACGTTTCAAAAACAGAATTTAGGAGAAATTTTTAAAGAAAATTTCATAACAAAATTAACACGGATAAGTAATATATCATTATTTCCATTTCATGAAAATAGAATTATAACAATTATCATGCTTCGCAGCAATAGGTTGTTTCGTTTTTTAGGGCTCACTCTTAAATTAATATAAAACCCATAGAAACCTTGAAAGTTGATTACGATAATCCTTAGCCATAGGGCGAGCAAATCCAATGTCTTATTTTTAAATTCAAAAGGATTTTACGAAATAATATCTAACACTGTAGGGAGAAATCTCGTAACGCCGGACGGTACCTAAAGCCGGACACACTACTTAACACGTATTATTTAAGCGAGTATAAATCTTTTTATTTCAAAATACAAGTAAAAGGGGCGTGAGAGGCACATAGGTGCAGGATCACGCGCCAAGACTCACCAGTGACGCACACGGCCACGGCGGGAGCAACCTTTTGTTGTTTTAGGCACAAAATCAAGGCTTAATCTAAATATCAATAAAAGTAATTTTAGTGTATTTATGCATTTATATGTTAGTTAAAAATAAAAGTAGTACTTGATTGTTATCCGTAAAATGATAGAATATTATTAAATATTTTAAACAATTTTAGTAGGTACCACCAAATGAACAAAATTGTCTGTCCCTCAGCACCGGACACTAAGTCGTCCCTTACCGCCATAGTAAGTAAACATAATTATATTTCTTGTGAGAATTGACGTAATTTATTTAATTTCGAGTGTATGTAATATTTCGTATTTTCTAGTCAAAGAATCGAAATCTTATGATGAATGCTCCAGCTGAGAGCATCAGTGTGGCCCAGCCAAAAGGGTGGATAATTAGTGATTTTTTTTTGCAATATCTGAGAATATTCGTCAAACACAAATATGCAGACATTCCATAGTGTGGAGATGACTACATATGTGTTCAATGCTGGTTATTTTGCAATGTCCGGTACTAGGTGCCACTTTGTAAAATTATATTTTTTACCAAAGTTTGATTGAGAGTATTAATTATTGTTTAGCAAAGATTGCGTTTTTGTTAATTTAGTTTGATTTATAACTTTGTTATCTAACTTGAGTCATAATTTAATAAACATTTCGTAAAATATTGTTTGATTTATTTATAAATAACCTTAGGTGTCCGGCATCGGGAACTTCCCCCTATATAACTTCAATCTAGTATTTCGTCAAAAATATTCATCAGTAGAGTTCGAATAACTATTTATTTAAATTATTTGTTGTTAAATTGCTTTTTTAATTTAATTCACTCTTTTATTAACTATTTTTTATTGTTTACACTTTTGCCATGGTAAAGGTGCAGCTGGTCCTGTTTACCTCATCTGCATGCAAGATTTTTGAAGGTTATTTACAAAAAAACCGTTGAATCTAACGTAAGGTCTTGTATACTAAACAACAGTGCTCCTAACCAATAAACTAACAATGAAAGAAAATGCTCATGTTACGGATTTTCAAACTTTGCCGTTTATCTCTTGATAGCGACGTCGTAAGATTCAAGGTGAGTGTTTATACATCTTTTTTCCTCAAATATTGTTGTTACAAAATTCTGAACACTACTTATTTCTGAGATATCGGTGGTGGATCTTTTTACCCACGGACCTTTAAGTCCTCCTCCCTATTGTTTTGTCATCCTAATATAATTACATATATTATAAAGTAATTAAATAGGTACACAAGAAGTCCACATTAAGTACACATTTGAATATTATTAAAATAAAATCTTTTGCTCGTAGAAATTTTCTTACCGTCTCCAATATCAACTGCACTATGTCTGCAGAGTTTAGTGGCTAGTCTCCTGATTGATCTTTGAATTCTGTCGTTCTGGAACATCAGAACGAAGTAGAAGATGTACATAACCAGTAGTGCTAATGCCTCGTACCAAAAGACCACTCCGTCCCAAGAAATCGCAACCAGCATCGCGATCGTCACCGAGTAGATCACGCAATCACGTGCCAAAGGCCATCGCTCCATGAGAATTGGCTGAAATTTTTAATTTGCAGTTCATTTTTGAAAACAATTAAGACGTTGCATGCTACTAAAACAACTAATAGTCTTTTGTTAAAATAATTAAATTTAATTTTGCAAGCGTCACTAAACACAGTCCAAATAGTTGATAAATACTAAGTAATTGTTGTAATTTCAACAATATATGAAACTTCTTGAAACAGTGTAAGATTGCCTACATAAACTAGTGGTAAATGGCATCGTGCCTTAAGGCAAATTGCTGGAACTTCCCGTACCGTAATGAAATATTCGAGGAATATCAAATGTTTTTAAATAGATTATTAAATACTGTAATTTAAAATATGTGTTTATAAAAAAGTTAATAAAACCTAATCAATCGAATTTGAATTGAAAGAAATAATACTTAACATTTATAAGTCTAATGTTTATAAGAATTATATAAACTGAATTGCAAAGTTAAAATTATTTATTTGAAATGTATTAGTGAGCTTTAGAATTTTAGTCAGAAAAAAAATTAAAATTCGCATTATTTTCGATATTCAAAAAAAATTCTTTTTTGAAATTTAAATTTTTTTTCCCAAAAGCAATCGTTTCGTCAACAGTAGCAGTACTTTTTTGAAACATTCAAATCGGATGCTTAGTTCTCTTGAAAAGTGCAATTTTTTGCACATTTAGTTCCGAAATGGCTGGACCTGCATTTGCCAAAAACGAATTACGACTTCTCCCTGTCATTACGAATTGATTGTTTTTTGAATCATTCAAATCGGATGCTCCGTTTTCTCATAAACTCAACTTCTATTTTCTGCACTTTTTGCTCCAAATCTCCGAAACGGCCAGACCTGCCTTTGCCAAAAACTAATCAGCACATCTCCCCTCGGTTGATCCGTGCGCCCGAAAACGTGGACGAAAAATTGTATCCACACATACATACACATACATAAATGTGATACCATTACATCGGTAGTAGAAAAAAATCTTAGCTAAATTCAAATGAATCGACCATTATTAATAGAAAAAGTAAAATTTAATTTTATATCTTATATATAAAAATGGATCGCAAAATGTGTTGGTAAGCGCATATCTCAACAACGCCTAGACCAATTTGGCCTATTCTTTTTTTAAAATGTTCGTTGAAGTCCAAGGATGGTTGTTACGGCGAGAAAAAAATGAATAATTGCCGGGAAAAGCCTAAAAACAGCCCTTTTCTTCTTTAATCGAGTAGGCAACGCAATTTGTAAAAAAATCAATGATCTATGCCATGACATTTCGTGTAGTTTTTGATAATCTAATTTTGAAAATATTTATATAAACATAGAAATATCTTTCTATTAATCAAGCTATATTGGCAGCCAAAAACATTGATGTAAATTAATTAAATTTCAAAATTCAAGAACAAATTACAAGCGAATCAGTTGATTCGGCAACTAACCAAGACGATCCACCGGAGTTTTTAAACTTGCTGGATTTGCTAGGATTGTCACCTCACAATCTCCAATTAAAGGTTGGATCGGCAATTATAATGTTGTGAAAAATCGACCAACTGTATTCAAAGGATAGTATAAAGCAGAAGATGTTCTCGCATCATGCATCCCAATGCGTTTCCTGTGCGTTTATGGTATCATGAAGTGTTTGTGGTATTAATTTAGAAAACCCATGTTTTTCACATGGAAAATTGTATGTTGTTTGTTCCCGTATTGGAAAACCATCAGATTTGTTTGTCTATGCGCCAGATAATCAAACAAAAAACATCGTTTATCACAAAGCACTACAATGAAAATTGACCTGATTTTTTAATTATGATTTACATTATTAAAATTACTTACTTTTAAATGTTTATAGTGTTTTATTTAATTATTTTTAATTCACACCGAATTATTACCAGGGTGACGGTTCTGTTCAGGATAATTTTTTGCAAAGAATAGAAAAAAAGTAGGCACAAAACACCGCCACATTACAATTTTTTTTGACAGGACGAAGTCTGTCGGGCCGGCTAGTTGGCGATAAAAATGTATAGATTTAAGTGTCCAAATCTCCCATAAAAAAGAAATGTTATGTTATGATCCTATCTTAGGGTAGAGCGGGGCTAGTTGAGCATAGGGGCAAGTTGAGCAATCGAAATATCTCGAAAACTATTCACCGTCCGTTTAGGCATTATATGGCGGAAAGATAGAGATTTGGGAGAAATAAACATCCCGCGATCGCTAGTGGCCGCTGGACAAATGAGTGAGGCTCACGGCCGTTTTGCTTATTTTGACCCCAAAAAGTAAAAAAGTAATTCATCACGAGTTTCCTTCTAGTTTAGTCAAATGTTATTTATTTTTAATCAGGTAAACGTTATTCTACCATATAATTATAGTACTTTTAATATGCAGAGGTTCTGGGAATCATTCTCACGGTTTTTTTATAAACTCACTTTTATTTTGAAATTACGTGTTGGGGTTAGTTGAGCATAGTTGCTTAACTTGTTCTGTCGGTAAGACAATTACCATTAACTTTCAGAAATTAATTATTATTTTAAAGATTTAAGCTAAGTCTATGAGTAATAATATAGAGAAATAATGATTTTAAACAAAAATGCTAAATATAATGGTAAAATAATTCCTAAGATACGATATTGTTTTGTTGATTCTACTTTTCGTTAATTATTCAAAGCAAATTACTATAAGTTTTGTTTTCTCTGTCAATAAAGACTATAAATATAGAACTGGTTATTAAAACTTATTTTATTTCATCACTAATCGACATGGAACCTATGATTTCATTATACTTTCTTAGTGCTCAACTTGCCCCACCTATGGGCATTGAGCATACTTGACTTTTTGCATTTAAACAGCTGTAGCTTTTAAATTTTACTTATTACCAAAAAATAGTATTAACACTTTTGTTAAGCAATAAACAACAAATTCATTAAGCCGTATACCAACTTATTGAGACTTTTCATTGAGGAGCTACATCCGTTTAAGTAAAAATTTGCTCAACTAGCCCCGCCATGGCCCCGCCCTACCCTACTTGTTAGTATGAATTACTAGAGTTATTATGAATGATCCGATCTTGTTAATATGAATTGATAGTTTAAACTTTAAACTGTAAAAAAGCTATGAATTTGCTGTGCGATCAGGCGTTTCACATACAATGTGTAACATAGTTTTAAATAAATTAACAATCAATATAATCCTAATTATATAAGATGGGTTAGTACTAAATAAATTTTTAAATAAATATGTGTGAATACAAAAACAACAACAGAGATAGCGAATTATAATGATTGGATACAAGGACGATGATGAAATTAGCATCAAAATTGCGATAATATTCAGACTTAGGTAATCTATGGTAAGTGAATGAACAAATTTAAGTATCAATAATAATATGTACATTTACATTTAACATTGAATTGAAAAATATTCAATTTGAAACATTTTCAAATAAATAAAAAAATTTATACATGTTTTTATTTCGATAAAGATTTTAATTGATTGTGAAATAAGCGCAATACGCTTACCATGGATACTGGAATGATGCATACATTATTGGCGCAATTTTGTACTTAAATAATGATTTTGATAACACATTCCACACACATACATCATTCGATAAAAATTATATAGGGGAAGTACGGACATGATGACATGGTGTTTTGTTTTTTTTATTGTTATTTATCTATTTAATGATATTGTAACCAGTTTCAATTGTTTTTACTCATCTCTGAATCTTTGACTACAAGTGGAAAAGTATTTTTTTAATTTAGTAGCAACTATAATAACATATTTTAACAGGTCTTAATTAACTTCCCGTAGGGTAAGTTATTGTAATCGTCCAAAAATCGAAATTGAAAATTTTTGGTATATTTTGAAAGAACTAAGCACCCGATTTGAATGATTCAAAAAACTTTCTGCTTGTTTTGACAAAATAATTGCTTTTGGAAAAAAATATTTAAAAACAATTTTTTTTTTTGAAAAAAAAATTTTTTGTATAGGAATCGTTCAAGTATTACGTAAGCAGATTTATTACAATTATTTACCCCCCCCCATCCCCCTTGTCATCAAAAATAAGCAAAGATCTTACCTAAAATAAGCAAATCATTAACTCCCCTCCCCCCTATAGTGCTTACGTAATACTTGAACGGCCCCATATCAAAAATAATTCAGATTTTAATTTGGATTTTGGCTAAAGTTCTAAAGCTGACTTATTTACTTTCAATTATTAATTTTAACTTTGTAATTCAATTTTTATAATTCTTATAAATATTAAACAATGTTAGGGGGAAGTCCCGTAACGCCGGACGGCACCTAGTGCCGGACTCTTTATTTAACACGTATTATTTAAGCAAATATAAATCATTTTATTTCAAAATACAAGTAAAGAGGTGAGGAATGTACACAGGTGCAGGATCACGCGCCAAGCCTCACCTGTGACGCACACGGCCGCGGCGGGAGCAACCGTTTGCTGTTTTAGGCGCTAAATCACGGCGTGATCTAAATATCAATGGAAGATGAAAGTAATACTTGATTGCTATCTGTAAAATGGTAGAATATTATTAGATATTTTAAACAAATTCAGTAGGTACCACCGAAAATGTCTGTCTCTTGGCACTGGACACTAAGTTGTCCCTTAGTCCCGGACACGTAATTTATTTTAATTATTTAATTTTGTTCTCTATGAATACTAACGGTCACAACATAGCCCTATATGTCGTATTTCCTAGTCCCATAGCCCCATATCTCGTATGCACTAGCTGAGAGCATCGGTGTGTCCCAGCCAAAAGGGTGGATAAATAGTGACTTTTTCAGCAATATTTAAGAATATTCGTCAAACATATATGTGCAGACATTCCTGAGTGTGCCGATGGCTGCATATGTGTTCAATGCAGGTTATTTTGAAATGTCCGGTACTAGGTGCTACTTTTAAAATCATATTTTTTGTCATCAAAGTTTGATTGATGGTATAAATTATTTTTTAGCAAAAGTTGCGTTTTTCTTAATTTGTTTTGATTTCCAACTTTGTTATCTAACATAAGTCATAATTTAATAAACAATTCATAAAATATATTTTGATTTATTTATAAATAACCTTAGGTGTCCGCCAATTGGGGACTTCCCATTACAGTGTTTATAGTAACCTAACATTTATTGTAAATGTTTATAGTAATGAAAACATTTAATATTCCTCGAACATGCCGTTACGGTACGAAAAGTTCCAGCAATTTGCCTTAAGGCACGAGGCCATACACAACTAGTTTTATTCTTGGTCTCGTAATGCCCATCGTATAAGTATGTTCAAAATAGAACAAAAATAAATCGATAATTAAAATTTCACCAAACACCTGAGTATTGCAAAAAAAAAAATGATTGAAATTATTTGTGCTGACATAATTTAAATGATTTTAATTGAAATAATTACAAATATAAATAAATAGGTCCCTAAAAACTCAAAAAAAACTTTTCAAGGTGCAAAACACGTTTGTGACAATGACGCTCAACATCTGACAGGATAGTTATTATGACTTTCTTTATATTATGCAGTCGTGGAATCGTTAATAAAACTAGTCAAATTTCAAACTGATGGGTGATATGAAACCCTTAAGCCGGCCACATACGTAACTGTATACTTGTGCAACTGAATGTAAGCGCAACCAGGCGTATTTTCACAGCGCCCACAGACGGTTCAAGTTTATGTTCAAGTACTTGCGCAAGCATATCACAAATGTCAAATAATAAATGTCAAAACATAACCTAAAAATATATTTTTTTTATTAATTTATATATTTACAGCATCAGAAGAGAATTCAAAGTGTTCATAGGGCTAATTTAATAACTTTTAATTGTCGATATATTCATAATCTTGTATTATGAATTCGCTACAAAGTAAAATAGAAACGAGACATGTGCTGCCACATGCGGCCAACGAATGAACTTGCCGACTTGAACGATTGCGCAATTAAAATAATCGAAAAGTGCTCATGCCTACTCGCTTGCACCAGTCTGTCCAGTTGCGCAAAAAACACGCCACAGACGCTACAGAATACATGTGCAAGTCGCAGGTTGCGCAGTTATACAGTTACGTCTGTGGCCGGCTTTAGAAATGTAAACAAAATTCATACTGCTATAAAATATCTGATAACTTGATGTGCATATGTCTAATGATCATTTCACACCAAATTGCACTTTTTGCACTTTTTCCACTCGATCTCTGACACTGCCAGACCTGCCTTCGCAAAAATTTAAAACTACACTTTTTAAAAACAATTTACCGCGTCTCTTTATCAATATCAAAATTTGTATCCCAACACACATACATATTTTAGTGAATTGCCAACTTGTTCAGAAATCTCTGAAACGTAAAGATATATAGGAATTTTCATTTTCGATTCTTTTGCGATTACTATAGCTTACTCTACGGGAAGTTAATAAGACCACTAAGCAGTTTTGTCTATAGATATACCATTTTGACTCTCTTTCCCCTAATATAAATATTAGAATTCATACCTTACTTGCAGCAAGTCCGCCCAGAGCACCAACGCCTAAGGTATTAAAGAGAGCTGAACCCACAATCGTTCCCAAACCCATATCTGACTCCGTGACGAATGTGCTTATAACATTCACAAAAAGCTCCGGACAGGACGTGGCGACAGACATAAAAGTAGCCGCTGCCACATTCTGAAAAGAAATATATAAATTAATTTCTGCCATTATAAAGTAACTATAAATAACATAATCGGTTCATAATTCGAAATTATATCGTTTGAAAGCGTACGATCTTACTTATTACTTATTTTGCATAGTTCAAATGATGTCATTATATTGGTGTTGGGAATAATTTGTATCATTTTTTTCTAAAGTTTCGTAATTTATTATCGAGCATCATCACGATAGTGGTATTCAAAGTATTGTCCACCCTTAAATAGTACTTTTAGCCATCTTTTTAGTAGAATTTGGTTACCATGTCGATTTTTTTTATTAGATTCGTTGAATGGATTGATGATTTTGTGGTCATCTCATAGGTCTCGAAGTAGTGTTCAGACAAACTAAGCACTATAGATCAGAACAAATGATGTTCGATCAAACGATCTTCTTTTGCGATCGTCGAAAAGTCGCCACCAATTGATGTGGATAGCTCTAGAAGTGTTTGACACAAGTTTTCATCGAGCAACGTCACTAAAAATCATTTTCGAACTTTTTCGGTTGTTCGGGACGCCCTTGTCTTCCAAGTCGAAATTTTCATTTTTGAACCGCGCAAACCATATTTTGTTTGCTCAGCGAGATATTGTTCGCCGAATACTTTCACTATATTGAATACTAAAATACGGTTGTTAAGGATTCCCAATAGTGGTAATTTGAACTATTTTTTGTAAGGATATCGTATCGTCTCGTATTCTGGTACGATAGCCTGTCGCCTGGCGATGCAGATGACTGTCTGCATCTCATTTCACACAAATTAATGTAACCCGCCAATAACGGGTGGGGCTAATATTGCTAATCCTAATTTTTAATAATTTTTACTTAGTATACGTTTAGAGCTCAGTATAGAAACACCAACTATCTGATGCCATTATATTCACTATATTTCTTTTATAATAAATATACTAATATCAAACGTCGCATTTTATTTAAATTATCACCGATGACACCAAGAGTTCAATTATAGAACAAATTTAAAAGTGTAGTAGTTAGGATAAATAAACCGACAACATCCAGTTAGACGTCGAAGTAATTTTTTAAGCTTTGCGCCTTAACAACGGTTGTTTTCTGATCTGTGGCACTTTCCTTCATATTTGAAATAGTGATATAACACTGCCGCAAAATCAATTTTTTAGACATCGAAAATCAACACGTGGATACAACATTTGCTACGAATATAAAAACAAAATGTCATATAGAGTAAAGCAAGTCTTAAAGGTCCGCGGGTAAAAAGGTCCACCAACAATATCTCAAAAAGAAGTAATGTTAAAAAATTTTCAACATCAATATTTGAAAGTAGAGGAAAAAAATGTACAAGCAGCCATTACCGTGATTATTATGACGTCAACGGCAGATAAAAGGCAACGTTTGAAATTCCATAGCAAAAGTACTTTTATTTGTTAATAGTTTTTTTTATTGCGAGCACTGTTGTTTAGTTTATAAGACTTTAATAAATTTTTTAACAATATGTTATTTAATTATTCTGTAATTTCTATTGCTATCTTAGAGTTAGATCAACAGGTTTTTTATAGAACCTCTTTAAAAACTTGCACGTGGGAGGGGTGGAAAGGACCATCTGAGCCTTTATCTCAGAAATGGTGTACACAATAAAATTTAGTAAATAAAAAAAATTAAGTTGAAAAGAGCAATTTTACAAGAGAAAAGTTAAATAAATGTTTATTGCAAATCTGTTGATGATTATTTCTGACGAAAAACCATCAGATCAAGGTTTATAGAGTTTTCTCTGTAAAAAATGTACTTATTAAATTTATATTTTGCATTGGAACTGCTTGCCCTCTGGCTTTTTACCCCGCCTATGTCGTCCAGTAAAAAGCACCGTGTGACATTTTGAAAAATAACATAAAATCACATTTCTGTAACTGGGAGTTTTGCTGAACATAGTCAGGTAGTTGTTTGTTTGATATATGTTCTCTGCTGTGATATAATTTGTTTGGTTTTCAAAATATAATTACTCAAAGCGAAATTGGATCTTTGTGTTTCGCCTTATCCTACTGATAAAAATGCATCATTAATTTCCATTAAATACATCAGTACTTTCCTAAAAATATTTATATTTCTGTGAATTGATTCCAACACAGAATAGTGCAGAAGTGTTATACTTAAAACTCTTTTAACACTTAGGTAATTCTAGTATTGCTCTGAGCCTCGATAACTACTAAAGATATATAGAAATGACTAGACTTTTTAGAATATTGTACTGGCTAATTATTATACAATTGCGATATCGCAATTATAGCTTTTACCTAAATATTGAAAATAGAATTATTATACTTCAAGATTTGTAGTGATAATTATAACTTTTACGATGCTTTATTGCTTTTTTATGGCTAAAAATGTGCTGCAAGTAATTGCTCTAAAATTTCTGATAACACAGAGTTAATAAAATCGAACAACTTTGTAGTTTGAAAATATGAGCCTCTGGTTATAGGCATCTTAGAACTAGTGTCTGAGTGTCGAAAAATCGATTTTCTACTATAAGTATAAAATTTCACCTTTTATAAACATTATATGTTGCTGACAAAATTTATTTGGGAGCATTTGTATACAGTGGAATAGCTGTACCAACTTCAATAAAGTTTTACAAACCATTTAGAAAATAATTTCTAATAAAATTAAACAATGCCTAATAATGTTATATATGTACCAACCAGTATACATATTCTACAACAAAATTATTCATAATTCCCAGCTTCAAATTAAATTTTTGTTTATGATTTTTACAAAATTTGAACTGAATATGAATATTTTAAAATCATTTCATTTGATGGTAATAGAAAAAATGACATTACTCTTTTTTCCACTTTGTTCCTACGAGTTTTACATGATATCACATCCAAAACTGTGTATTTATTTATAGTTCATATTTTGCTTATATAAGATACTCTCAATTTTATCGAACTTCCGCAAGGAATTAAGAAATATATTTGATAAAACTACAAGTATCCAAATAAAGAAAATATAATTAAAACTAATAAAAGCTGCTTGAGTGATGACATGCTGTCATGTAAATTGTAAAATACAGCAATTTTATATTGTTTCTTATTATAGTTTTTACTCTATATCGTGATTTAAATATTGGAGTAAATATTCATAAAAATATTAATACAATTTATAAAATTCAATAGAAATTAATAGTAATCAATTAAACTTAATGATAATTTTAGCAGAGATTCAATAATTATAAAATATTACTAACCGGCGATATATGCAAATCTTCGCAGATACATTCCACAGATGGAATAAAGTAGTCGTTGCATATTACAGCCAAAAGGGTGAAGCAGTAGACACCAGCAATAAAATGCAATATTATTGCACCCTGCGCCAGTTGCTCATCTGCAAACAGATATAATTTTATATAATTGTAGTGAAATTATTTGATATTATTAATATCGGATTTACTGAAGAGAAAATACAGGTTTGGATCCTAAAATTTGAGACACCTGAATTATCACAGATAATTGAATTCATTTTTAAATTAATATAACATTAACAATACAATAACATTTTCTGCTTTGTATGAGAATGAAAGAAAGTATTCGATTGATTCAAACTTATATTTCAATCAAAATTCATTCTGTACTTTATTTTGTATCTACATATATAGAAAAAAAGTCGGCTTTTCCTTCCTGATATAACTCTAGAACGCACGAACCGATTTCGACAATTTTACATTCGTTAGCAAGGTCACGGGCTCCGCAAGGTTTATAGCTAAGAAAATTAGTGGTGCATGGCATAGTGCCTTAATGCAAATTGCTGGAACTTCACGCATCGAAATTAAAAATCTGAGTAATAAAAATAATTAATAATTGTTTTAAATAATTTCAAATAGATTATCTTCTACATATATATAAAAATAAGTTGGGTTTTTCTTTCTGACGATATAACTCCAGAACGCACAAACCGACTTCGACAATTTTGCATTCGTTGAAAAAGTCTCGGGCTCCGCAAGATTTATAGATAAGAAAAGTGAGGGGAAACTTAGTGGTTGTCACGATGCATGGCATCGTGCCTTAATGCAAAATGCTGGAACTTCACGCACCGTAATTAAAAATTCGAGTAATGACGTTAGTGAGAATTATCAGAATTATGCTTGGTTAAGACAACAAGCAATTCTTTCCGCAAAGAATAATTATGTACACGCACTGAATTTCACCATTCAATCAAAAATTGTTAGCGATTTGGTGAATGCCAATGATTCCGACTGGTCTTCCGTTTGACTTCAAACGATTGCAATTTCCAATTCGCCTTGCGTTTGCAATAACAAGTGGCAACGCCAATCGCTTAGTGTTTGCGGGATAAATTCCAAATAGATTATTTAGAAAATCATTGTTTTTCACATGGACAGTTATACGTTGCCTGTTCACGAGTTGGGAAACCATCCGTTTTGTTTGTGTTAACGTCAGACCAAAAAACAAAAAAAGATTTACCAAAGAGCTCTTCAATGAAACGGATAATTTGCGTATTCAATTTCATTTACTTAGAGAAGTTCAACTAAAAAACACTTCATTTTTGTAAACGAAATAAATTCATTACTGTTGTGCAATAAAATCAAATTTTTTCTTTTCAAATATAAAACAAACAAAAAATTCATCTTTCTCACGAAACCATCTGGTGGCGAAACGGAGTTCGTCGGGTTTGCTAGTTTTATTATATGAATACCAAATAACAAAATATTGGATCAAACCTAATATATAACTGTTGACCAAAACATTACATCATTTCACATTCTAGAAGGCCGTGGGTACAGTTGTGCCACTTCTTTTTTTATCAGTCATAATTTTGTTAATTTACTAGTTTGCTCGGAGAAAAGTTAATTGAATGGTAATTTGACTACAAGAAAATATTGCACTTTAATACTATGGACTGGCCACAAAGTCAAAACAAACAAAAAAAGCCAGTGGCACAACCGTCTACATCCGAGGGACGGTTGTGACAGCGATTGGGGTCAGTAGTGACAGGTTTAAAAATATGTTAAAAACAATAGGTATGAACACCAAAATGGTTTATAAAGAGTTTATTAACGTTAATAACAATGATGACTAACGTAAGACAGCACAAAATACAACATACAGAGCTTTTGAATAAAATATAACAACATATTACAAAACATAATTTTCGAAAAAAAGTTAAGAAAAATTCTTTATGAAATTTTTTTTTCTCAAAATGTTTGTTTTTCTTTTTCTTTTGGATTTTGTCTTAGTTAAGTTAGATTTTTTTATCTGTTTAATCTTCACTCAAAAAGGACAAGATATACGTATCACAACCGTACCCAAAAATTTGTCACAAACGTACCCAACGCACGCTTTTGAAAACAAGTCGTCATTATGACTGAGATAAATCATCTAGGCAAAAACTAATTGCTGGTTAATAACTACTAATGTTCAACTTACATCAAAATAACAAGAAAGCAATATTTTTTACAATTAACAGTTAAAACAATTCGAACATGAAAACTAGCTTTTGACTCTGTAAAAGCGATGCGGTCTGCAAATCAAGTTAATGTAAGGCGCTGACTGAAATTAAAAATAGAAACGTGTTTGAAAAATCACACTTTATCTTTGGATCATATCTCAAAATCAGTATAGTTCATCTGTTCTGACGCCTGTCACTACCATACCCTGGCACAACCGTACCCAGCCTCCCATAATATATATTCAAGTAATTTTTACGGTTCTTATTAAATGTTTTTAAAATATGACCTCAATCTTGTAAAATGTCTTTGAAGTATTTGATTAAAAATATGGAAATACAAAAATTAAAAGCTGAGCTAAAACGTTTTTTTGTTTTGTATTGCAGATGCAGTAAAAACTGAAGTTCGATACCAAATAAACAATATGTTATAAACAAATTAAAGAAATTATTATCTGAACAAATGAAACAAAATATCTAGCTAGCAATATATAAGAGCAATATAGTGCTCAAATTGTATTATATACAATTTAAAATTGTTAACAAATTAAAATTTTCAGTAATAATTAAGTGCATGTTCTATAAAAATATTTAATAGAGATAAAGCAATTTAATATAATATATAAAATACGTAATAGAGGTAAAGGATTTTGATTTCGAACGAGTGTCTGGAAATACATTATAAAATCTGTTACATTATAAAATCATTTGAAACTAGTTTAACAAAGTTACTAAAGATATAAGCATCAACTAATTAAAAGGCAAAATTCAAATGGACTAATATGAATAGTAAAATTATTCCTACTTATTTTAAAGCAATTCCCATTTTTTACATTTTTGAAGTAAAACTTCTGTAAGCCCGACTAGGATGCATCGGAAGTGCGTTACGACAGATAAGATAAGATAAGAGTCGCGTATGTGAATAGAGATCTGTCGTTGTATGCGTACCGATATCAACAAGGAAATCGGCATAGATAAATGAACATTTTAAATTTACATCGTAGTACAAATCTTGATTTAATGAAAAATGCTTGAATCAGAAAAATATTTTATCCGATTCTCTGTAAAAAATTATAATGAAAATAATAAAACAAATGCAGCATTTGCGCCGTATATGAATTATAAGTTTATTGAAATAATTTGTATATTGTTCGTAGTTTCTATAAATCTTGGAAGTTATTGAAATGGAAAATATTTTTTAGGCAAAACAGATATTACAGCTGTAAAGAATGAGATTATATCGCCAGCGAAAAAGTAAAAAAAAATACCATCAGTCAATGAATGTATGTTAATTATATGTGCATGACGCGTGTTACTATATTACTAGTAAACATTATTCAAAATTGTTATATGATGTATTTATTTTCACTTTAATGCCATCTTTTACAGTAGCAAATAAGTTTTACTTCAATCGCGTGTGGGCCCTATTTGCACTCGTTTCTATATGCAAGGGAAGGGTAAAGGTTTTCCAAAAATTACGAAATTGAGAAATATAAATCAATGATTATATTATCCTATAATTTTAATGAAGTATAGTATTTATTTGGTATATAAAATTTTGAGAAAATTAATTAGATGCGTTATTCTGCATTTATTTAAATCATATTTGCTTACTTGATACTATTATTCTAGATACATCTTAAACACAAAAGATAATACTAATCTTCTTTGTGAATAAATAAAGAAATTTAGTTAGAATTTTATTAGACCAAAAGTGAATTCTCTAAATCTAAATAATAAGAACTACTCACCAGTGAATAAGTCTTCAGGAAAGTCTTCCACGGAACTAGGAGCTACGCATGTGAAGTCTTCTACAACAGTTCCATTTGCTAATGTTCTATATATCTTTTTCCTGTAAGTCCGTATGTGAAGAGTAAATGTTTTCAAGTCATCATTGTCATCATCATTAGATTCTTGGACTGTGTCATTGTTGATGTTAGAATATTCTACAGTTTCTCTAGATTTGTTGTATCCTTGAACCATGTATACTTCTTCAGCATCCAGTCCGATTTCTGTGACGCCTACTTCATCTGAACCAATTACGATTTCTGTAACAACTGGTAATAAAAAATACAATTAGATGAAGAAATATTTCAGTAGTTATCTTTTGAATGTTCGAAAAAAATTAAGATACTATTGTTTTTCAATTGTGAGTTTTGGGCATACTTATTTTTTTTTTTTTTTAAATTTTTTTTTTATTGGCCTCCGCTTTACAGCATTTTTAGCCACATACATTATTCATTTTATTCTTCATCATATTCTATACAATTCTTACATATATATTTCTTATACATTCATCATATATATACTATCTCTTCTTATATCCTAATCTTCCATCCAATTTTCATTCTTCTTCTTGTTTCTCAATATGTTCTTCTCATCTTCTAAACTTCTTTTTTCCTATTTTTACTTCTATTTTTTCTCGTATTCTACAAATTAACAATTATTTGGAAGCGCCAGGAGTCGAACCATCGATCTCCGGCATGTGAGTCGGACATGCTACCTCTGAGCTACGTCCGCCACATACTTATTTTTATAAATTCAAGATTAAGTTACAAATATAAACAAACTTGAAGCTACGAGTTAAAACTATACATGAAATATTATATTTTAAGAGACTCCTTGTACATAAAACTCGAAATTAAAGTAATATCTAAAATCTCTGTAACAATTCAGGATAAGGAGACGTGCTGATTATAATCATTTTGCCAAATAGTATTTGGCCAAGGCTGGTCCAAAAATAAAATTTAACTGGCGGGGTGCATGGCATCGTGCCTTAAAACAAATTGCTCGTACTTTCCGTACCGTAAATGAACATTTGAGGAATAAAAATAATCAATAATTGTTGAAATAATGAATAATTTCAAATAGATTTATTATAAATACATACTGTAAAGTTATAAGTGCTTATTATATTGGGCGACGAGTTTTTGCAACTTTCCTCATGGAAAACTGCCACTTTCAGCTAGTTATAAATATGTTATATATATGTATATATATACATTGTTTCGATTAATATGATGACGTGTAGGATGCATATCTATTGATGTGATTTTTATAAATAAATATACTTAAGAGTGTAAAGTATAAAAACAAATCAAAGTTTGCAAATTGAAATCATATTTATCACCAAAATCTTATATCAAGTGTTTTTCTTAATTCAAATCTTATCATCGAAAATGGAATCCGTAAATAATAACTGATAAAGATAATTTTGTAATAAAGCTTCTGTAATAATTACATAAATAATAAATGACTATTTAGAATGCTTGACTTTGTAAACAAAAAATAGTTAAGTTAAAAATTTTGTTTAGTTATTTTAAAAGAGATTTTTTTAAATATAAGATTGATTGAAAAGAATTCTTAGCATATTTGTCGATAGAAATCAAATTCAACAAATCTTTCAGTAAGATAATATTTATATATGAGGTAATCTATATTCTGAGCAAAATATTAATCAATTTTAAGATAACATATTTTATTCTATCAGTTATTTGCTAATTTACAAGTATGCTATTTTTAATATATTTATTGAATATGCAATAAATGATAATAAATATCTATAAACAGTGAAAAATGTCTATTTGAATTTGAATAAATTGACCCCAGTGAATCTCGGCCAGGCGGGAAAAAAATCGGAGGACAATATTTAAATCTTGGGTCAGAATTATTTTCAATATACAAAAAAAAAATTGAAACCAAAATTTTTTTTTCGGAAGCAATTATTTTATCGAAACAAGCAGAAAGTTCTTTGAATCACTCAAATCGGACGCTTAGTTCTCAAAAAACTTCTATTTTTGCACATCTAGCTCTGTATCATTGAAATGGCTGGACCTGCCTTTGCCAAAAACTAATCAACTCTTCTCCCAATCATTATAAATTGAATGTTTTTAGATCATTCAAATCGGATACTCTGTTCTCTCAAAAACTCGATTCCTATTTTCTGCACTCTTTGCTCCGTATCTCCGTAACGGCTGGACCTGTCTTTGCCAAAAAATAATCAGCATATCTCCCTATCAATAGAAATCGAATGTTTTTTGAACCATTCAAATCGGTTGATCCGTGCGCTCGAAAACGTGAACGAAATGCGGACACACAAAACACACACACACGTCCATTTTGTCTGAAGTATGCCAAAATATTCAGAAATCTCTGAAACGTGAAGGTATACAAAAATGTTCATGTTCGATTTTCGGCTCATTACTAAAACTACCCTAGGGGAATTTAATAAGTGGTATTTACATTGGTCAAAAAATTCTAATAATCATCATGAATATCTTTTAAAAGCCATATGCTTGATCGTAATTAACAATTTCATATAAATTCAATATAATTTGGAAATATTGTGTTAAGAGGGGCATTTGATAAACCGACCAATATTCATTTTGTCTGTATTATCGAACTTTTGAAATAAGTGGTATATACATTGGTCAAGAAAATAATCAATTAGCGTCAAAAACATCAATGATACCTTTTAAAAATCATATTCTTGATCGAAATTAAATAATTAAATCTATTATAATTTGTTTATGTAATCGTAATCGATTACTGAAGCATCGTTGTAAGAGTCAAGAAGATGGTTGAATCGCATCAATAGAAAAGAATGCAACCAAAATGCAAATACTTCATATCTACAACTCTTCTGCACTTTACAGGATCAATCTTCTCAAAAATTAATTACAACGTGTTTCCGATCATCGTTGAATAAGTCTGACGTCAACTCTGAAAGTGTAGTGTTGACTTAAAAATATTATTAAAAAACTTCTAACTTTACTTGTTCTTGAGATAACGGTGGAGTTCCTTTTTACCCTATATTTATTCCATCTATTAATACATACATTTTTCTTTCGACAATAGTTAACATATGATAGATAATTAAAATATTTATGTTGAAATAATATTGTTATTATTGTATTAATTATATGTTGAAGAAATATATTTAATTTTGAAATATCAAGATTGTACCTTTGCATAAATAATTTTAGATTTAAATTCTGGAGTTATTGAATATGAACTGAATATTTATATAATTTTAAACATTTTTCTTATATTATTTTCACACTATAAATAATTTCACAGAAACGACTATCGGATTTTTTTAATTTCAACATTGATCCACAATAAATATTTTTTTATATTTTTAGGTCACAATTCAATAAGCTAATTCATTAAACTTTAATTATCGCTTGCCGTCACGACTAAAGCAAGTTAAATATTGATTTGTATTATTATTAAGCCTTATTGTAAACATTTTCGCAAATTCTTCTTCATGTATTGATAATTATATAATCACGTAATATTTTACCGCAAAATATAACAAAAGATATTAAACCACCACAAGACCATCCTTAAATTTTATTTTCTATGGAATATAAATTATTCTAATCTTGTTTTAAGATTAGTTGTTCAATATATTCAAGTATAATATGTGGACAACAACGTCAGTTTTTTCCATGATCTTTTATGCTTTAAGGTTACATTAAAATATATGTTTTCCAAAAAGCCACTTTTTCATTTTTATATAATAACTTGCTCATTAATTAAGGTAGATTATAATTATTATAAGATGGTAATTGGTACAAATATTTTTAACTTCCCGTAGGGTAAGTTATTGTAATGGGCCGAAAATCGGAATTGAAAATTTTTACATTACTCGACGTTTTGAAGGTTTCTGAACGTTTTGGCATACCTCAGAAAAAATGGATGTGTGTGTGTGTGTGTGTGTATGTATGTATGGATACAAATTTCCAGTCACGTTTTAGGGCGCACGGATCAACCGATTTGAATGGTTCAAAAAACATTCGATTCCTATTGATAGGGAAAAGAGCTGACTAGTTTTTGGCAAAGGCAGGTCCAGCCGCTTCGGAGATACGGAGCAAAGAGTGCAGAAAATAGAAATCGAATTTTTGAGAGAACGGAGTATCCGATTTGAATGATCTAAAAAACATTCAATTAGTAATGATTGGGAGAAGTGTTTATTAGTTTTTGGCAAAGGCAGGCCCAGCCATTTCGAAGATACAGAGCTAAATATGTAAAAAATGGCAGTTTTTGAGAGAACTAAGCGTCCGATTTAAATGATTCAAAGAACTTTCTGCTTGTCTTAACAAAATAATTGATTTTGGAAAAAAAAAATTTTGTTCCATTTTTTTTTTTTTTTTTTTTAGTTTTTTGTATATCGAAAATATTTCAGATTTTATTTTTAATTCTAACTATAGTTCTAATATACTTTACAAATAACTTCAACTCTGCAATTCAGTTTATATATTTCTTATAAATATTAGACAATGTTACAATATTTATAATAATTTATTTGAAAACATTCAAAATTTCTCGAACATTTTGTTACGGTATGGGAAGTTTCAGCAATTTGCCTTAAAGCACGATGCCATAATTGCCTCAAGACAGAATTCCACTTACAGCTAGTTGTTTAATTTTTTGTATATCGAAAATATTTCAGATTTTATTTTTAATTCTGACTATAGTTCTAATATACTTAAACAAATAATTTCAACTTTGCAATTCAGTTTATATAATTCTCATGAATATTAGACAATGTTACAATATTTATAAAAATCTATTTGAAAACATTCAGTATTTCTCGAACATTTCGTTACGGTACGGGAAGTTCCAGCAATTTGCCTTAAGGCACGATGCCACCCACCCCACTAGTTTTTGTCTTTCATTTGGCCCTACAAATTCAAACAGATGATAGTAACCAAGCATTTAGTAGATATATTTTCATAACCGATAACAATTTCATTTAGTTTGAGAAAATAACATTGTCGAATATTTACCGTATGCTGTCCAACAGCAAACAAAAATAGATATAATTGGTTTTATATAAAATTCTATACAATTCAATAGTGCGTAATTAAGCGAGTAATAAATCCTTCAAAGAATTTCATGGAGGCCGTCTCTATTAATATATTACTTTTATTATTGATATGTTTCACCATTTCTTTTGAAATGATAAATTTTATGATTTTCTTCTGAAAAATGAGTCGGAACTGATTATATAGAATAGCAATGGCAAAACATTTTTTTACCATCACCTCAA